TATGCAGTCTGGTCCCATCCCAATTTATAGATGAGGAAGGACACCAAGGACCAAGAGAGGTGAAGTCAGGTCCTTGCCCAAAGTCAGTGAGGCAGTTAGGGACAAAGTCAGCTTAAAAACCTAGTCTCCATAATCCTAATCAAGTAGGGTTTCCACTGCTTCATAGCAACTGGATTTCTTTTGAGACCTAATTTTGAGGGTAGGGATCATGTGGCCTGTTTGTTTTAAAGCTGTGCATGGGCTTGAAGTGGGGTGTCACTCATGGTGAGGGCTTCAGGCAGTACCACGGACTCACTCAGCTGATCTCGTCTTCTCAAGTGAGCAGGGCTTGACCTGAGTTCAAATGCTAGTGACAGACCCACCTGCAGAGGAGAATGGAAGCTGAGGACTTTGAATGGCAGGAAAAGCAGCAGCTGGACAGGACACCACTTTCATCACTCTCCTCTTACTCTTCAGGGCAATCCCAATTCCAGCTCCATGTTGAGTCTGCCCATTCAAGAGGGCAAAAACTTCTCCTGGGAAGCAGGGGATTAAGGGCAGGGTAGCTGGGTTGAGTGGTCAGATTGAGTCTCATTTTCTATTTTTAAGATTTTTATTTATTTATTTATTTATTTGAGAGAGAGAGAGAAAGCAAGAGACAGAACACGAGCAGAGGGAGAGGGAGAAGCAGACCCCCTGCTGAGCAGGGTGTGATCCCAGGACCCTAGGATCATGACCCAAGCCAAAGGCAGATGCTTAACCAACTGAGCCACCCAGGTTCCCCTCTTTTTTTTTTTTTTTTAATTTCTATAGTCTCATTTTCCACAGGAACCGGTCATAAGACCTCCCGTAAGGCAAAAAACTCACACGAAGTAGAAAGTGCCCTTGGAAATCCATTCTGACACCTGTGAAGGGCCACAAGCAGACACATCACTTTTCAGGAAATTCCAACCAGCCAGCCAGCCTCTCCTTCAGGTTGGAAGACAGTTCTGTTGCTTCCGTGGAGCAGTGGAGGAAACCACTGACATTTAGGGCTATCCTGAACCAGGAAAACTTATTTCTGGGTGTGATAAGATGCTGGTGTGATATGAGGCCAGGAAAGGGCTGTCATGCGTGGTCCTGTGTCACACTCAGTCCAGGCACGTGCTTGCTGATTGGAGGGCAGGAGACCCACCTGCCGCACTGTATCCTTACTACATTTCCCTTTCCCTCCCCATGCCCCGCTGCTGGACTTGTACAGTTGACTTCATGGAAATTAAAGTGGTGCTCTGGAATCCGGGAATCCCCACCTTAATATTAGCCTCTCAACACAAAACTGTCAGTTTGAGTGTTGAAGCCCTGACCCACAGAAGCTGTGAAATAATAAATGTTAGTGGTTAAGCTGCTGACTGTTGGGATAATTTGTTGTGCAGAATGCAAATACAAGAAGACAAATATGGAATATTAATACAAGGGAGTAGCGGGAGAGGCAGGCTAAGGAATGTGGACTTGATCCCTTACGGCAGCTTTTCCAGTGGGGAGTGGTGGGAGTGGGTCTGTCTTGTAGAAAGTTCTCCTGGTGGCCGAGGACATGCTGTGGGAGGGACGGGGCTGGCAAAGAGACCAGTTAGGGGACTCTGCAGTTGTCCAGGTGAAGAGGTATATGAAGATGATGTGGAGAGATGGTAAGAGGATTGGTGCAAAAGACCTTTCTGAGGGGCATTTGGTGGCTCAGTCCGTTGAGCTGCTTCTGCCTTTGCCTCAGGTCATGATCTTGGGGGTCTGGGATCGAGCCCCACATTGGGCTCCCTGCGCAGTGGGGAGTCTGTTTCTCCCTCTCCACCACTTGCGCTCACACACACACACACACACACACACACACTCTTTCTCTCAAACAAACAAATAAATACAAATTTTTTAAAAATAGAGAGACCCTTCTAAGTAGAATGCTCAGAGCTTATGGATCAGCTGCCTACAGATAAAAATAATAAAAGCAATAATATTATTAATAATATTCACAGTGAACATTTATGGAAAACTCAATATGTACCAAGCACTACTGCAAGCCCCCTATATGTATGCACATGTTTAATGCTCACAGCAACCCAATGAGGTAGGTACTAATCTCCTTTTACAGATGAGGAAACTGAGGCACAGGGAGACTATGACCTGCCCAGTGCCACTTAGCCGGTAAGCTTCGGAGCCTGGGTTCAGACTTAGGCAGTTGTGCCTTTACCATCTCAAGGGACTTCCTCTGGAGGGATCAGAGAGGGAGAGAGGGAGGGAGAGGTGGGACAAGGGTGAGCTCTGAGGTTTCTAGCCTGGGCAACTGAGTGCAGCCTTGCCCTAAGTAGTGGCGGATGACTTGAAAGACATTCCTCTCACCAATTACCTACTAATTCCCCGCGTACCTCAGAGGAGCTGCTTAATGGGCTCGACTACAACCCAGCACGTGCAATGTACAATAACACCCGGATGTGGCACCAGGCCCCGCTTCTACCGCACTCCAGTAAAAATAAATCTCTCTGTCCAAATATAGAGTGGTCAGAAGTGCCATGTTTTACAGGACAAGAGGCAGTTATTTGGCATTAAAAATAGACGAGTTTTGGCTTCCCTGCAGATCTGGGCAAGAGCACTGCTATTTCCAGATGGAAACCTGGGCGGATGGAGTTAGCTCCCCTCTGACTGACTCAGCTATTTAAAAAGCCTGAAGAGAAAATTACATCCCCTCTCTGGGCCTCAGTTTACTCATGCATAAAATGAAGCGATAAGGGGCGCCTGGGTGGCTCAGTCAGTTAAGCATCTGCCCTCTGCTCAGGTCATGATCCTGGGGTCCTGGGATCATTCCCTACTCAGGGGGGAGCCTGCTTCTCCCTCTCCCTCTGCCACCCCGCAACTCACACACTCTCTCTCTCTCAAATCAATAAAATCAATAAACTATTTTAAAAAATGAAGAGGCCGGGGTGCCTGGATGGCTCAGAGGGTTAAGCCTCTGCCTTCGGCTCAGGTCATGGTCTCAGGGTCCTGGGATCAAGCCCCGCACCTGGCTCTCTGCTCAGCGGGGAGCCTGCTTCCTCCCCACCCCTCTCTGCCTGCCTCTCTGCCTACTTTTGATCTCTGTCTGTCAAATAAATAAATAAAATCTTAAAAAAAAAAAAAAAAAAAAAAGAAGAGGCCAGGCACGGCAGTTGACATGAACGCTCCCACTATCTGTGAGGGTAGGAACTGGAGTCCAAAGCTGGCCCTTGGAGAGCAGAAGGCCTCCTAAATCACAGGGAGCCCACACGGATAAGGCGACCTCGCCTTTCAGCTCGCAGTTCACTGCTCACAGGACCAGAAGTGGGACTTTTTCCGAGGATTTTCAGAATTCTGTCAAGGGCTTTTAATGACCCTTTTGAGTCAGACACCTTGTTAATCCACAAAGAAATGCAAGCCCCCCTCCAACCAGCACACCTCCTGAGATGCTGCCTTGATAAAAGGAAGCCAAAGACCAGCTAGACACAGGACAGGAGGATGGGCTGTAGAGGAGCTCCTAGGCATTTTTGGGGTCACCAAGGCTGCCCCCACTGAGGGCCTCTGCCCTTCCCCTCTGTTCTGCAGACGAGCGTTGCTGACACGTACTCATGGAAAAGCAGTAGGCTCGGAGAGGGGACATCATTTGCCCAAGATCGTTCAGCTGGTGGACACTGAAACCAGATCCAAATCTAAGTCTGGATTCAAAGCCCCGGTCTTTCCGCCTCCTGGGGCCTCTCCGGTGCTGCTAACTGTGAGGTCAGCACAGCTCCTCTCCACTCCCAGAGGGGACAGGAAGTCCTAACAAAAGCAGGGAGCCTGGGGCTAACTCAGAACAGCAGCTAGAAACTAGTCAGGAGTCTCTAATTCCCTAAGGGATCCCCTTGGCATTTTATCACACCTTGAAAAAGAAAGACCAGCTTTGCTTTAAAAGTTTTATTAAAAATTGTACCAGTTGATGGGGAAGAATATACACACACATACATGCATGTGAAGAACAGAAAGCCAAATATTCTGTACAGGTTAATGGATCCCCATTCCCCTCCCTCTCTTTCCCTGTCTCTCTCCCAGAGGCAGAGTGCCTAGAACCCAGGACAGCTAATCTGGGGTGAACAAAATGCTACATTCTCACTGGGTCTCCCCCTGACAGCCCCTGTGGACCCAGGGAGGGGTGGCCCGCTGGGCGATGCTCACAGAGCAGGGAGAGGCACTGGCTACTGGCGCAGTGACGGGGCGGGGAAGACCCGGCTGCTGGCTCCCAGCTCCCATGGCCTGTAAGGCTGGCTTATCTGTGGAAGAGCTTGGCTTTCTGTGTTATTCCCGTGAAGCTCCAAGTCCCCACAGGCTGAGGTGCCCCCTGCCCACAGTGTGCCCAGGAGGCTTCGAAGGGCTGACAAGTTAACCCCTTCCTGGACCAAGTCCAGCCAAGGTCCAGCATCCCACCAAGGACCTGCCTGTACCTAGAGGGCCTTGCAGCTTCTTGCAGCCTGGGCTGAATGCTGATTCCCAGAAGCCCGGCAGAGTAGTGGAGGCAGAAGTCTTTTTGTTTTTGCTGCTCTCCACTCTCCGTAGCCCCTCTTCATCAAGTCCACCAAATGACACAAGCTTGCCAGCTCTCAGTGTGCTTGCTCCTTGCTGACCAGGGCAGGCACAGTGGCTCCCCAGCCCCAACTGGACGCCGTGGCTGGACCATCTCAAATAATACTGCCCACCCCCCACCCCCCACTGCCTTCTATGCCCAGGCTGGAATCACCCTTGGATGAGCCTAGGCCACTGGGGACAGTGAGACAAGTCAGTTGGGCCCCTCCGAGTGTTTGGAGAACGCCTGACATGTAAGCTCTGGAAACGGACTCACACCCCTCAGGGCTTGGGGAGGTCACTGGGAGGTGATCTTTCTCTCCCTTGCACTAAGCAAGGCCACGGGGACAGCTCTCCACCAGCCAACATCTGAAGCAGGCAAAGGTAGAGAGGCCACCCCTCACTAAGTCCTCCAACTCACTAAGGGAGTCAGATGTCTGGCCTGGTGGCGGGGGGGGGGGGTTCTCTCCCCAGTTCTGTCTACCAGCTTCCAGAAACTCTAGGGTTCTGATTTAGAAGGGCTGAATATCAGGCTTCCTCCCTCCAGGGCTTTTCTATAATGAGAGGGAGGTTTCCAGCCCCTCACCCACCCCTCACCCTCAGCAAACCACAAAAACTCCACAAGTCTTCAGATGGTTACAGGTCAGGAGCTGGGTCAGAGTCTCCCTCCCTCCAAATCTGATTCTCCACCCCCTAACTAGAGACGGCCAAACTCTGGGGCATGGGGGATGAGGGGTGGGGGCTGGAGATGAGGGAAGGGGGCCCAGAGGGAGGGATATGTCTCCTGAGGCTGGACTTGAGGAATGTTCAGATCAAGTCACCAGGCAGAGGGGGAAGGGGCCAGTCTAGATCACTAGGCCAATTAAAACCAGCCAGCCAGGAGGAACCTCTCTCCTTCCAGGGACTGTTGACCTCCTGTGTGTTTTGGGGGCAAGAGAGAAGGAGGGGGGTTTTAAATTGTGCCCCAGCTTGCTTAGGACAGTGAGTTAGTTCCTGGCTTCCCATAAGATGGAGACAGTGCAGTCAGATCACCATCCACCTGGCCCCAGGCTCAGTGTTCAGGTGGGCTTGTCAAACTCTGGGCTCAGTTTCGTAGGGCAGGCCACGGGACGTTTTACCTGGGCCTTCCAAGATCTCTGAAGCTGATGGCTTTGCCTCTGCACTGAGGCCCCGGACCATATATTTGTTCTCTCACTCAGCTCCAGTGGGAAGTTCGCTAAGTGGGGTTCAAAGTGGCTAGCAGAAACCATCCTGGTTTTCTTGTGTGCCATTGGGAATACACCAGCAGCCTGCCTGTCACTGCCTTGGTCTAGGAGAGGGGAAAAAAACGGCACATGTCCAATGCACATCCGAAAACAGAGTGGAGACATGCAAAGAAGGCTGGATTTCACAACGGTCAGCATGTCCCGGAGCTGGTCTTCACCTGTTCCCTGGGCTCCTCCTTGTAAGCAGGAACCCTTCTTCTTAGCAGACAAACCATGGTATACACCCTGAGAATAGAATTCTAGCCAAGAAGAGGTAATACCTCCAGAACATCCGAGCAGAAGAAAACAAAGGCTAATGTACAGTCTGAGGTCCTGCACCTCAGGGCCACTGGGAGCCCATATGGCACCTTTGTGCAAATTAGGAAAGGCACCCCTTCTTCTGAGCAGACATAGCCCCAAACTAGGGCATATAGCCTGGAGGGTAGAGCATGAGCTGAATTTTAGCTTCCATTACCTTCTTCTGCAGGTGCCCTTATGCAGTGAACAACCTGCCCAACTGTACATCCAGTAGATGAATGCTTCCTGAAGACCTCCTCTCTGTAGAACTGGAGAAGCTTGGGCTTGTTTAGATTTGAGAGTCTACTTGGACTCCTCTGATTTCCTTGGGTAGCTCTGAGGTCTTCTCTGCCCACAGAAGCCACCTTTTCTTTGGGCCTTGCTTCATGTTAGCACCAATGTTACCTTTTCTTACATAGGCAAAAATTATAATTTAATTTCTATGTGTCTGGTTAACAGATTCCCTGTGTCTTTTCAGATTCCCCGCATCTGCTATCACAGCTGCCGGCCTGGCTGCTTTCAATTCTCTCCATTAGTGCCACAGCAGGTTGAGAAGGGAAGTTCAGAGGCAGCTACGAGCCCACTGAACTCCGGAGCACGCCCTTCTGGCCTCCCTGGAAGCTGAAGGAAGCCAGGAAATGTGTAGCCAGCTTTGACGGTTCCACACTCTAACCATTGTCTGTCACTCTAAAAGACACGTTTCAGCTGACAAAGCCATGGAGCTGGCTTCTTCCTGTATCCCACTAGGTACGGAAAAGGAATGGGGAGAAACGGGAGGAGGTATGTTGTTTCCAAGGAAGCCAAGGGCTCTGGGTTCCTCTTGGGCTGATTTTCACAAGTGGGATGGCCCCCACGTTCCCCAGCCCCGCTGTAATCCTGCCCTTCGTGCCCCAGAGTGCGCAGATAGAGGGGAGGAAACCAGTTTGTTGGCTGGGTCTTTTGAAAGAAGAGCTGACGAAGGCACAAGCTGCTAGTTATGGCACGTTCCTTGGCTATTTGGCTCATCCGTGGTGGATACCCAACCATCCTCAGGCAGCCAGAGGTAGCAGGGGTCCAGCACCTCGGGCCCAAGGCTGGGCCTCTGAGCGGGAGCAAGTAAGATTTGGGGCCTACCCAGAAGTTTGGTTCATTTTGCGGCACATTTGAGGGGTCCTTGGAGAAACCCAACCCTCCCTGAGGTCTGCTGGAGATGACAGGGGCTGGGCCAGAATCCCTGAGCCCTTGGGGCTGGCACTGGCTGGGCCAAAGGAGAACCCAGATATGGAGCTGGCTGACTGGCCTTGTGGAAGTTGCCATGCTCAGCTGGAAAGCCCCTGGCCGAGGCCCTGGGGAATGAAAGCAGTGTGACTGGCAGATCTCAGGCCCGTCCATGGTAGAAGGCTGATAGCGTTGGCGGGACCAGGAGTCTAATCCAGTCTCCTATTTCTCAACAAAGCCGCTGTGGGAAAAGTACATCCACTGGCTGGAGAACATCACTACCTGGTTATCTTTAACAACCACTCACTGAAGACTCGACTTGTCAGAGCCCTTGGGAGGTCCCACACCACAGACCCATCAGCCTCCGCTTCAACAGTGTTTGACAACGGCCCTCATTCCTGGTCGAGGTCCTGAACGGGGAAAGAAGTCCCGTGTAGGGTATGTCTTATGTACATGGAAGAGAAACTTGGCAAATGCAAATACAAAACAGCAACAATCAACTTCACAAGACACAGTGTCAGTCCTCGACAACGTCCTTCCTATGGTGCCCCGGACAAAGAGGGCGGCCCAGCCTCACCTGGGACCCGCCCCATTCCTGTTCTCATCTGCGTTCAAAGCAAGGTTGTGTAGGAAGAGAAGGATCTGCCACCACACCCGATTTTGGTTTTGCTGGTGCTGAAAAGGCAAAAAAAAAAAAGAAGTTAATTCCTAAAAGTAGCCTGTAGCCTCCACAACTACCAAGTCCTTATCATTCCCAATAAAAGTTTAGATCGAGGTTGTCTGGGGGGAGCACTTTAATCCTATCAGGACAGCAAACTGGGGAGAGGAGGGGGGAATCGGAGTAGGGGGGTGATGAGAAGAGTGGTGATGAGGGAGAGATAGTTGAGTTCTCCAAAAACAATGGCAGTTTTAACATTAAAAAGAAAAGACCAGGCTCTTTATGCACTGTGCACAAGAGGATTAAACTTTTTCCCCTGCTTGCTGGATTTTCCAGAGTTTAGCCAAGTGCTGCTTTTAATCAGATTGGCTCCTGAGCCCCTCAAACCTCAGCTGCATGAACAACAAACTTTCTTCAGAAAGAAAGAGAAGAGGTGCCCCCCTCACTCCCCCAACTCCAAAGTAACACAGAGAACAAGGGGGAAAGAGGGGGAGCCTCCATCTGCAAGTGATTTGACACTGTGAAGGTCAAAGGGTTAATCTTCAATTTAAACCACACTGCTGAGGCAGCAAAAATCTGATTTCATCCAGTGCAAACACGCGCATACACAGAGACACACACACACACACACACACACACTTGTGCGCCCGCCCTCTCTCCCTTCCCAGCATCTCCAGCTTGCTGCTGCCCTTTTTATAGCTGCTCTTGACAGTAAGCCATAAATAATCCCTCTTGGAGCACTTTCCTACTGACTGGAGCCAATTAAACGTTAAGCAAGAACATACTTGAAAACAAAACAAAAACAAAGAATGCACACTACTCTCTGGAGGTTATCCCAGGTCCTACTGTCAGGCTGGGAAGCTGGGGGCAAAGGTCAGGGGTCAGGGGCTCACAGGACTGGGGCTGGGGCCCTGCCCACACAGGTACCCTTTCCCAGGGGCCAGTGGAGCCCCTCCTCCCTCCACAAGAGAGCACTGGGGTGCTGGAAGAGGCGGTCTTTGTTCTTTCTTTGTCTGCCAGGGTAGGAGGACTGCATTGGGGCCCTCTCCACGGGGTCCTCAGTGGATAGGGGAATAAAAATCCAGCGTGCCGGAAGAAGCCAGCACGGGCTGGACCGGGCTCACTGCAGCTTCCCGGTGAACTGACAGCAGAGCCGGGCCCTCCTTGTGCTCTCTTTAACCACTGCCCCGGCCCCTGCCTCTCTGATGAAGAGGACAGGCTAAGTCAGGGGCAGAATGAAATGAGCTCATGTCGCCTGCACCCTCAGAGCTTTGTGGGGGCAGCTGGCGTTGGCCTCCTGGACTTTGCCCCAGGCAACCGTGCTGGTTCTGTGTTCCTGCCCCCCCCCCCCCCCCCCCAATTCCCCGCTGGCCTTGGGCCACTAAGCGGGGAGAGGTGACCTGCAAACTGAGGCTGACGTCAGGGCCCTGCTGAGGCAGGTGAACAGAGTGCCCCTCTCTGTCTGGGGCAACAGCGAGCCCCTGGCCCCTGAGGAAGGGAGGCTGGAAAACCACCCAGAAAGCTGGAGCCCAGGCCACTGCCAGGAGGGGAAATCGGGGTGTGCCACAGAGGAGTCCTGGCAGACTGTGGCAGGAGACTGATGGCTTCCTTGTGTTTTGTAAACAAAGATGAGTAAAAAGAGGAAACACAGTCGGCTTAACAAAATCTGGTTAGAGTAAAGCAGCGTGAAAAAGGACTCAGCTGCAAAACCTGAAGGCTCTCAGGCCTGCCTGCAGCAGCTGGGCAGGGCACCCCTCCTCCTGCTTCCCACCCCCAGCTGCTGTCCAGGACAGGTGCAAAGGTCATGTGGCGGAAAATCCAGGAAAAGATTGGTCCCCGTCTGCTGGAATTCCATGTCTTCTCAGGTGCTTGTTTGAAAAGACCAAGCAACAATAACAACCACAATCATACAAGAATAGTAACACTGAGTGTGCCAGGCTCTGTTCTGAGTGTTCTACATCCTTGCTTCTCAAAGTGGGGTCCGTGGACCAGCAGCCTCGCCATCCCCTGGGAACTTACTAGAAATGAAGATCTACTGAATCGGAATGTGCATTTTTAACAAGATCCCAAAGTGACTTGGAGACATATTAAACTCGTTTGGCCATTCTCAACAGCCCTATGAGATTGTTCTATACCATCATCCCCATTTTACAGATGAGAACATTGAAAGAGTTCAATAAATCAGCTACAAGGCTACCAAGTGGCAGGGACTGGATGAATTCCAACCTGGCCCTAGAGCAATGGCTTTATCCATTATCATTATTCTCTGAGTGCCACCATACACCTTTCTTTATGCCAAAGCAGACCCTCTCTCCTCCCCTTCTCTAAATTGCATCAAAATAGCCCAATAGCCAAGGAAGGGAGATCATAATTCTATAATTTGCAGCCTGGGCCAATCCCACTTCTGGTCTTGTTGGGAGACAAAGGCAGGCCACACAGGCCCACCATTGGGAAGGACTCAAGCCCCATGCATCTGTCTGTGACAGGCCTTGTGGTGCATGGATCAGCAAGGAAGGCTCCATGGGCCATCAATCAGAGGACCTGGCTGTAGGCAGGGGCTTCCCACCATCCTGATTGTGAGTCCTCACTTCCCTTATAGGAGAAATGCAGGTACGGTATGAGATCAGTTGTTCCCAAACCTGACCACGTCACAGAATCTGCTGACATGCTATTATAAATATGGAGTCCCAGGGTTCCACCCAGACCAACTGTGTCAGAATCTCCAGGGAAGCAGCCCAGGAATTTGTACGTTGAACAAATGCTCTGGGTGACATTTAAAAATTTTATCTGTTTATTTATTTTTAAGGTTTTATTTTTTTAAAGTAATTTCTATACCTACAATGGGGCTCGAACTCACAATCCAGAGATCAAGCGTCACACGCTCCACTGACTGAGACAGCCAGGTGCCCCAGGGTGCCATTTTAAAAATCAGAAGTAACATTTATGGTATATTTTAGTCATCAAAGTAATACATGTTAACAGTAGAAAAATTGGAAAACACAAGAAATGAGAGAGAAGAAAATAAAATCACTTGTGATCCTATAGCCTAGAGGAAAACATTTCGTGACTGGGTCTTTTTTTTTTTTTCCTCAGTCTCTTTCAATCTCTTCCCATCAGAATGATGACTTGGCCAAGCCCGAGGTAAACCCTGCCCAGGTGGTTCTGAGGCAGCCAGGCCACAGACAGGCATTTGGAAATCACTGAGGTGCTTCCCAACCCTAAGGTTTGTGATGTGAAGTCTGTCATCCACAATTACCCTCAGGATTACAACTCCAAGCTCCAATGGCTGAATCCAGCCAGCCTACTGGAGGGTCTGGCTGTGCCGGGAGACCAGGCTGTCCCATCAGGAGTCAAGCTGGCTGTGCGGCAGCCACGAGACCAGCAAGCACACAGCCTGGTAACTGGTCCTCAGCCTTAGGAGCCCCTGCTCTGGGCACAAGCAGATGCCACATAAATTCCATTCAGCCTTCTCTTGCCACAGGGCAGCCCCCAAAAGGCCCTCTTCCTCAACCAAGCTGCCTCATACCAAAACTATCAACAAATGCCCTGATTACGAGGAACAACAATAAATACAATATTGAAAAAAAAAATTAAACAAAAGGGCCTGACCAGAAAGGAAAGAAAAAGGACATGAAGGGAGGCCGATGAGAGAAACAGTAAGGAGGAAGGAAATCAACATTCAGTGAAAAGGATGAGGTACACAAAGACACCCAATTGCCACGGAACATGGATGCTTCTAGCAGAAGGTGCAGAGGAACGGGGAAGGAGGAGAGAAGCAGGAAAGAGTAGGCTTGGCCTCTGATGCTTAGGTGCTTGGCAAAGCACAGGGCACAGAACCTGAGCTCAGGGAGTGCAAACCCCCAGAGCAGTGGCCAGCTCTCCTAGACTCAGCTTGAGCAGCCTTCTAAGTCTGGGAACCTGCAAAAAGTGGGGGTTCTAGGAATGCACAGTCTAGGAATGCAAAAAGTGGGGGTTCTAGGAATGCACAGATCCCTTCGGAATCAGGAGGCTGAGGTACAGGGGATAGGAAATTGCTGGGAATTGAAGGTTACACCAGAAGGCCTCCAACTGAGAGCTGAGAGGGTAGGACCAAGGCATAGGGGGAAAAATAGAGGTGAATGCCCCAAGAGAATGGGATCCGACATGGTGGATAAGAATATCCTCTTCATGGGCGCCTGGGTGCCTCAGTCATTAAGCGTCTGCCTTCAGCTCAGGTCATGACCTCGGGATGTTGGGATCAAGCCCTGAGTAGCGCTCCCTGCTCAGCGGGAGGGCTGCTTCTCCCTCTCCCACTTCCCCTGCTTGTGTTCCCTCTCTCGCTGATTCTGTCAAACAAATAAATAAAATCTTTAAAAAAAAAAAGAGTATCCTCTTGAGTTAAGAGAGCATAGACAGGCATTGGAGACCTCAGGCTCTTCTATCTCCATCCCACTTTCTTGCTATGGTCAGGGCACAAAGGTGATCCAGCTAACAAGGACTCGAGTCACCCCTACTGTGTACAAGGCATGGCAACTGAATACATAGCCACACGTCCTGTGTAACGGGGAGCATGCAAGGGCACACAGTAGGTACTCATCAAGTGTACACTGGGCCAACTACAGAAAAGTCAGCCCTGCAAGATAACCCACTTGTCTAAGGCCAACAACGACTGATGTCTGGCCAGGTCCAAAGATGTACTTGATGTGATAGGATTGGCCTCTTGCCTAGGGAGAGGCCCAACTAGTAAAAGGCTTTTTTTCTTCTTCTTTTTCTTTTCTTTTCTTTCTTTCTTTCTTTTTTTTTTTTTAAAGAGCTGGCTGTGGTGTCTGACAAGGTTGGATTACACAAATCAAACTCTGTTTCATCCCACGTGGCCTCTACCCTCAGCACAAAGAGTGTTCCCTCCCTTCACTGGATAAGAATCTCCCTCTGCCTCTCTCCCCTTGGATCCAATTCACACCCTCTGGGGGCTTTTGTGTGTCACCCGTGTTCCAGATGCTCCAGCGAAAGCTAATTCACCCCCGAAGAACTAGAGCAA